CTGGGTGCAAGCCTGGAAATGCCCTTTTCCAGAACCATGGGCAGTTTCTGTCCCACCAGTGAGCCTGTGAACAGAGGTCTTGCCTTCGGCAGGCCTGGGGACAAGCCTGTACATGCTGGCCTCGGCAGAGGCACTGGGCACCAGGTACACATCTCCAGTCTGCTGTTCAGGCTGGCTCTGCTCAATGCCTTCAGGCTATGGGCAGTGACAAGCTGAAAATCTATCCTCTGACCAGGGCAGGCCTGAGCCAAGGGGCTGGATGATCTTCTCATCATGTGGGGCGTGACTGTGCAACCCAGAGTGACTGTTCCACCCCAAGGTCACAGCTGAGTCTACTAACTGCAATGACAGAGAACTGTCAGGTGGCAGTGCATTGGTGATTGTGGGGCTACTGCTGGAGTGGAGGTGGAGGAGCTAGAGCTCTTCAGTGGATCTGGGTACCTCTGAGACCTGCACTGGAGGCTGACCTCTGACCTTTGGACATAGCTGAAAGTTAAAATGGATTTAACTGCTTCCCCCTTTTCTTTCTGGAAGCCTTGCTGATTGCACACCCTCATCTGTGAGTCAGAGGCAGGAAAGGGTTTGGGGGGAAGAGGAGAGAGAGACAAGGAGTGGAACAAAGAGTGGGAGTCAGGGTAGAAACAAAAAACCTTAAGTTGCTTTGCTTAGGAAAGCTGGTGCAAGAACGACTGTGCCTTAATGTCTCTCAGAAAGGAAGGGGAGAGTCTCAGCTGCAAGCAAGACCCTCGACTTTCACTTCCCCTCCTTCTTACCCTCAAACAATCCCACCACACTCCCCATGGGGAAAACCACACACATATCTGGAGGAGGAGGCTGAAGGTGCTCTCTAGCAGCTGAGCCCATGCCTGAGTCTCTTACTTGAGCTGTGGGTGAGGCTGGGGCTTCTGTGGTGCAGCAGCTGGAGGTGGCTGGGCCTCTGCCAGGGATTTGCTGCTGGAGGGTGCATCTCCGTGGGTGGTAGGGCCAACCAGCCGAGGAGGAGCCGAGGAGGAAGAACAGGAGGAGGAAGTGGAGGAGGAAGAGGATGAAAGTGGCAGTGATGGTCCAGAGGGGAGCCGGCGTGGAGGCAGCACCTTGCCTGGGGGTTGCATTCCTTGGGGTTGCCCAGGGCCCCCTAGGTTCAGTACAAGAAAAACTTGATAATTTAACCACATCAGAGGGTTTCCATATTAAAATCTAGGTCTCAAAGGGGATGGTTCAAGAATTACAAAACGGATAAGCTCTATTACAGGAAGCCATCTGAAGTCTCCAAGGGCATGTCAGCCACATTCACAAATGCCTCTGTGTTCCTCCTCAGAGACACAACACCTCAGTTCTGATGGAAGCCACACAGAGAAGGAACCATGCAGTGAACAGGTTCAATCAATACCCACCACCTCCAACGAGAAGGAATCCCTCTTCTCCAGAACTTTCAGGGAATGACACTCTGCTTAGCACCTACCTGAAAAATAAATCTCAGTTCTGAAGGCAGATGTAGTGTGTGGTCAATCGGAGCTTAGTCAGCTCTGGCCTCACTGCAGCCTTGCACACAGTGAGACTGGGCCACTGTGACTCACGGGCTTCCACCAGATAATCTTTAAGAAGGAAGTTGCCAGACCTTTATTCTTAGTTCACCTTAGTTAGGAAGCTTTACTGACATCTGCTCAGCATCACAGCGACATGCAAGCCTCCACCGAAAAAGGTGGTAGCTACACTTGAGGTACATGGGTGGGGCCCAAACCCAGGCTTTCCACATAGAAAGTGAGAATTCTACCACTGAACCATCACTGCTCCCCATAGATACAGTAAAAACTCCCTCTTGCTGTGGAGTTTATTCCAACTCACAGGGAACCTATAGGATAGAGTAGAGCTGCCCCATGAAGTTTCTAAGGATGTAATTTTGACAGAAGCAGACGTTTCTCCTGTGGAGCAACTGATGGGTTCAAACCACAGACCTTTGGGTTAGTGGTGAAGTGCTTAGCTGCAGTACCACTGAGCTCCTTAAAAACAAACAAGCATAAAACAACCCATTGCTGTAGAATCAGTTGTGACCCACAGAAAGCCTAGAGGACAGAGCAGAATTGTTCCCAGAGCTCTGATCTTTAAGGAGCAGACTGCCACATCTTTCTTCCACAGAGCACTGGTGGTTTTGAACCTGTAACTACAATGGTGAAAAGAGCACTAGAATGGGAATCAGGAAACTGAAGAAATTATCACTGACTCACTGAACTTTGTCACCAAATGCCTCTGACTTTGGTTTTCCCAGCCACAAAATTTCTTAAAAAGTCTCAGATATCGTTTAAGACAGTATAAGCATCCTATGCTTCACAGTCCTAAGCTATCATTGTCTTAGCAGCACTGCCTGTATGAAGCCTTTCCCAGGGCCCTTTGTCTCATGGAAGCATCCTCAGGGTCTTCAAAATGACAGGCAGGTGCAGACAGTCTCCAGAACTCGAACTCTCTGGAAGCGAAGAGCTCCAGAAAGAACCAGTATACCCCTTTCCAGCATGAGGCTGAATCCTCCTGCCACCCTCCCTCTGGCAGCTGGCAGTAAGCGTGGCATCAGACTGTTCAGATTTTGCTGGGGCCAAAGGCTCGAGACATCAAGACCTTCCCATTGCCCATCCTGATCAGCAGACAAAGTACACATCTGGCCTGCGAGGGCACCTTCCCTCACCTCCATTCCAAAGTCTACATCCAGAAGCCTAGTGGAAGTAGTGGGCTTAAAGACATTCAACAGCACCTAAGACTGCATTTCCCTTAGTTTCCCAGGGACACCTGAACACCTGTGTCCTTTGGGGGTCCAGGTGAGCACATCTCCACCACTGTACAGCCTCCAATCTCAATCCCTTTCCCCACACACATCATCCACTCCCCTTCAGCATCAATTACCAAGAAATACCAGAGTTGGTGACACTTAAAACATATAAGTAAATAAATGGAATTTTCATGTTTGAGCATTTCAACTTCATATCAATAGCTGGTGAAGGTGATTCTTGGTAGATGAGCAGATTAATTCATGTTGTTCAGGTTCTGCTTTCTCCAAAGTTGACATCCTTTTATTAGCATTTTCTTGCAGGTAAGGTGGGTTCACAGCTCAGCCTCTTGTACCAGAAACCCTGAGTGTGTTCCCACTTGGACAGAGATATTTGAGTAGCCAGAAACTTTACAACTTAACACTGAAGACAGATAGAACTTTTGTTTATTGCACATTAAGCTGTACAAGAGTCACAAAAGAGAGGTACTTCAATCACACTCCAGCATTGATTGAGGGTCTCCCAGCTGGATTGGTACAAAAAAGAGGACAACATCTGAAAAGAAAAGGGTACAAAACACCAGACAGCAGTCCTCTGCTGTCACTCGGGTGTCCCCCAGGCCACAAAGTTGTCCCTTGACATGCTGCCTGAGGACACCTGACAGTCTGGTCACGCTGCCTGCTTGCACCTGGGAGTGGGAACCAGAGCCAGCATTCCACCTGAGAGACCAGCTGACATCACTCTGCAAAATTTAATTCTGACTGAATTCAAATGGCAACTTTGCATTTGTGGTTCATAAATGTTACATGGAAAGCACCTGAATGTTCACACTGATCACATGCAGAGAAGCAACACCACCATCAGCTCACCATTGCCACTTAAACAAAAATACAAGAAAAGAAAATATAAAATATGTATTCTTCCATTCTAGGAAACGTAGTTTTATCCCTGTCTACCATTGCATCAGATTGGGCGATATTTATGAACCTGATTCTTATGAATTCCACCTGCAAGTATATTTATGCATGTTTTGATTTATGTAACAAACCAACAACCATCATCATCTAAGGGAGGGATCAGACAGAATGCTCACACTCAATGCATTTCCCTGACTCAGAATTTGCCAGCAACCACAGAAGAAATAAAGACACAGCTACCTGGACACATAAGCCATGTCACATAATACCATTATGCTTCAGACCTTGCAATTCAAAACAGTGATTTGTCAATGCTAGAGGAGGGAATGTAAAAGAAGAACCAGAGAATTACTTCTCTGAGGCAAAGTGCTGGCATGAATTCCCTGGGAGCAGCACACTCCAAGAGGTTACCCAGTGCCTCATGTGAAAAGGCCCCAGATAAACAGCCTCGCCTCCACCCAGAAGTTACTTGCTGGAATGAAGAAGACATATGGGGGAGGGCTCTTTAAGAGCCGTGGCTGTGGAACCTCTGCCCCAAGCTCACAGTTCCTAGGTAATTCTTGGCAGGGAGTGCCAGCCTTCACTCCTCTGGTGTCCGGAGAGCTTTAGGCATGTCTGATAGCCAGAGCAGAGGTCCACCTGCCTCAGAGTTCTGTGGGGTGTGGACTCTCTCAGGTTGTGTCAGGGTGCCTCATGAGAGGCTAAGAGAGCCAGGTCCTTCCCAGGCTTCCAGCAGCTCCCTGCGTTCTATGCCCAATCGTAAGGTCCTGCCTCTGTACAGAGTCAAGTTTCCAATACAAAACAGCCTCAGATCCACAAAAGCGAACACATGGTCACTTCAAAACAGCAACACAGCAACAACTTAGGATGACTGAGGTGAATGCACAGAAAATATTCTCAACACGTTCACTGGGATAATGCACATCAGCAGCCCCAACTTTTTTTCTTAAATGTCAAAGCTAATCAGCTATTAATGAAAACAAAGGGGCTTACTAGGGGATGTATAACACAGAACACATTCCTAGAAATGGCTTGTTCTTTACATTTCATGTTATCACTGAAAACATATGAACTCTAGAGGCACAGCTGGCCTATTTACGTTAATGCAAACTGTACCACATTAGCAAATGGAGAGAAAGTAGATGGATGTCTTCAAATTCAATGGATAGGTGATGGAAGTTAGACCTCCAAAGTCTCTGAAGCATCAATTTAATCATGCAAAAAGGACGAGAAGCAGAGCTGGTTGCAGAGCTGAGCGCACTAGTGGCTGCACTTGGTGCAGTGGGGCTACTGTGAGCCCAGGAGATGGGGGTTTCTTGTCATGGTCTCATTTCTCCCTTGCTCACCCCCTCACTCCTATCTCACCCCACATAATGTAAGACTTTAAAAGTCATGACCAAACCACCCAGAAAGGAGAGTCGCACTGGACTTGGGAGAGGCACAGTCCTTTTGTACACTATGGACAAACAGCCCTGGAATCACAAGCTACACAGAGAAACGTGAGGGAGCACGACAAGCATGAGCACAAACAGATCAACACGACAGGAGCCGCCATGGTAGAGGGAACAGTCCGGTCAGCAGTGGAAGTGTGAATGGCACCACTGGGAGGATCTGTTGCCTGTCTTTTTTTGTTTGTTTGTTTTTGGCTTAAAATTTCTCCTTTCATAAATTAACTACCAATTATGTTAGGACGCTTGGACTTGTTTTGGCCCTACTGCAATGCCATTACAGTCGAGAATATACTGTAAACAACCTTGAGGGGGTGGTCGCTGAGGTGGGGTCTTGCTGGAGTCCAAGTCCTTAAGCGTTCCACTCTGGAAAAGAAAAATGGAAAACAGATGAAAACCCAACTTCAGCTGAATTCCAGCGCACAACACCATGGTTCTGTGGCATGGTCCCAACAGGATGCTACAAAGTTGGGCAGAAAGACTGCAGGGGAACTGGGTCTATGGGATGGAAAGGCTAAGTCATTTGGGGGCTTGGGACATACAGGGTCTGAGACCTCCTCAACCTTCTCCTAAGGTGTTCTTTCTGGAAGCATTGAGTCCTCTAGCACTGTCTAACTGCTTCTCTCATGCCCAGACGCTGACCTCCCATGACACTTGAAGAACCAAAGGGAGGATCCACACTGTGCTTCAGAGCCTATGATGGGCTTCAGTTGGCTCCAGGGTGGAAAAACAGTAGGGCTGGAGCAGGTGACTAGCCTAGACTTGGGCCTGCTCAACTTAACTTGGGATGAGTTCAGTCCTTGGCTAAATTCAGACCTACCTTTGGGTTGGGTCTACTTGCTGAGCTGAACTGGGCTGGAACTCCCACTGGAATGCTCTAAGGTAGAGGGAAATTATGTTTCCCAGAATGCTACTTACCAGAGAGTAGGAGAAAGATCTTAATGTTTGTAAAAGTGCTTTTCTCTCAACCAGTATAGTCACATCCCCCATGGAAGTGGTCCTACTCCCCCCAGGGCCTCTCTTCACTCCTCCCGGCTGGGATTCTGCTTATGCTCAGAATCAGACTCATGACATGTGACTCTGATGTGTCTACCATTTGTTTTAAAGACAGTGAGAATTTTAGCTTGAATGCAACACAGGGAAAATACTCTATAAAACCCAAGGCCTGCCAAGTGGGCAGCCGATGACATGGAAGAAGGGCATTCTGAGTTGATTACCAAGTGGGTTCTGCCTGTCTTCAGCATCCTCACTCTTATGTACAGCAGAGGTGTGAAGATAGTGCAGGATGGGGCAAGGGTTCATTATGTTGGATCCAGGGTTGCTACATGCTGGAGCCAACTCAAGGGCACCTGACAACAGCAACACTTTCTCTTCACTGCTTCTTCCCCATGCTGTCAGCTGAAGCCCTCTCCTGCTTCTGTTCCCACTTCCCTTGGGTCTCCCAAGTTTGTCTATCAAGGCCTGTTTTCTCCTTCACACTAGGGATAGAGAAGTGTTAACCCTTTTCCCTGTGTCTCATTATAGTGATTGCATCACACCATTCTACCAACAGAATTTCAGATGGCAGTAAGTAAGGGCTTTGAGGTATCATTTCTGTCTCTAAACCCAGTCTTTCATGATCACAGTAAGAACCCTAGTGCTTCTTTTCCCTTCTGTCCAAGTACTTTCATGAAACCCTGATATTGACACACTCGTACTCAATTAGCCAGCAAGGGGACCTACTGTCCACTGTCTGGTCAGTCATCTAGACCCAGAAGATCTCTTCTCTTCCTTGTGTCTCAGATGCACAAACTTCACTTGACAAACCCTGGAGGTCTTTATCATTTTTTTCCTTAGACTAAGATTAGGGAGCTCCCATGGTTTAATTCCACAGGGCAGAGAGTGGTAGTGTTTCCTCATGAGAAGGATGGACAGTCTCCTCCCATGAAATTTATAGCCTGGAAGCCTGCTGAAGGGTCAGCTATGAGTCAGCTCCAATTAGATGGCAATGAGCGGAGAGTCTGAGTTACTCTAAAAGTCATCATATCTTTAGTTTCTTCTCTGGATGACTATCTATTATTCTCCAAAGCTAGCCCCTAATTGTACTCCCTCACTGATTTAAATAATTTATAGCTAATATTGTGGTGCTGGAGAAGAGTATTGAGAATACCATGGACTGCTAGGAAAACAAACAGATTTGTTCTGGAAAGGGTTAAACCGGGTGGCTCCTTAGAGGCAAGGATTCTGAGGCTCCGTCTAACATACTTCGGACATGTTGTGAGGAGAGACCGGTGCTTGGAGAAGGACATCATGCTTGGGAGGGTGGAGGGACAGCGCAGCAGAGGAAGGCCCTCTATGAGGTGGATGGATTCAGTGACTGGGATAATTGGGATGGGAGTGTCAGAGACAGTGCGATTGGCACAGGACAGAGCAGAGTTTAGGGCTGTTGTACATAGGGTCACTATGAGTCGCAAGCAACTCAACGGCACATAAAAACAACAACAATATTTACTTAACACTTAACTATGTATGATGGGCAATTTTTATGCACTATTTCCCTTAACCCCATGACACTGTAGTGAGTTTTTGTTGCTGTTGTTAGTTACCACCCAGTCACCTACGACTTACAGTGACTCTGTGAACAGATGCGAACCTTGCCCCATCCTGCACCAGCCTCAGGATCCACCTTACAGTCTCAATGAATCTTGTTAGGTGTCTTCCTCTCTTTCTCTGATCCTCCATCTTTCCCAGCATGTTCTTTCCTAAGCACTGTTTTTTGATGGCAATCAGCCTAAACTCTGAGATGAACTTTCACCATCCTTGACTTTAAGGGGTACTCTGATTATACTTCCTCCAAGATAGACTTGTTTGTTATTTTGGAAGACCATGGGATATTCAGTAATCTTCTCCAACATCACAACTCAAAGTCTTCTTCTGTCAACTTTATTCACTGTCCAGCTTTCACACGCATAGGAAGTAATTGAAAAGAACACAGCTTGGACTAGATACACCTTAGACTTTACTTGACATCTTGCTATTTAGCACTTTGGAGGTCCTTGACAATAAATTTTCCTTATGTAACACATCTTTTGATTTCTTGGCTGATGTTAACATGGGTATTGATTGTGGATTCAAATAAAATAGTTGGCCATTTCAATCTTTTCTCCACTTACCATAATATGAAGATTTTTGTTTTCTTAATATTGAGGTTGTAGAGTTTAACTATCAACATGGCTTTCTTATCCAAACTTGAGTTCGCCATGTTAATGGGTGGGAATATGTGAATAGGACATGTCAGTTTATCCACAACGGGCCAGGCTATCTCACTCCTCCTCAAAGGGATTGGCTAGTCTCACTCATTCACATGAGGACTGACTAGTCTCACCACTAAATTGAGTGGACCCAGCAGTAGAATTAGGAGATCTTCCCCATCAGCAAAGAAGGAAGAACATGTAGCACATCCTTCAGGTCCAGAAATTCTTGCTGCAGTTACACCTATGGCAGCAGTAACCATGGCAGAACCAAATAACAACATGAAAGAGGACTCTTACCTCCCACTGACAGAACCAGAGATAAGCTAAGATACTTTGTCCAAGTTTGTTGAACAATGGGGTTGCAGAGGGGAGATGAGGGGGCGCAGGAATGAGAACTTTGTATTTGTGACCTAAAGCTGTGAGTCTGGGGTACTCGCAAACACATTTTGGAAGCTATCCTGACACTCACCTGAACTGCAGCCCTTTTTACTTCCCCAGTATGGTTTTGTGCAGTCTGTGAGCTATTGCATCAGATTTTGAACCCTGTAAAGCAGTTACTAGGCTACTTCTTGGAGCAAGGATTCTGAAGCTTTTTCTGATATACTTTGTGCATGTTGCATGTAGGGATTAGTCCTTGGAGAGGGACATTATGCTTGGGAGGGTGGAGGGACAGCTCAAGAGAGGAAGATCCTCAGTGAGATGGATTGATTCAGTGACTGGTGTAATGAAAGTAGGTTGGTCAGAGTCAATAGATTTAACAAAGGATAGAGAACAGCTTTCATAGGGTTGCTATGAGTTACAAGAGACTCAACAGCACATAAAAACAATAATAACAAAGCAGTTAAGGTTGGTAGATGAGTAAAATGAATAGAAAGAGTTATGAATGCATGGGGGACATATCTGACCTCATGGGAATTGGTTTTGTGTTGTTGACATTGTTGACAACTCTTTGTGAAGTTGGTAAAGGGACCTTGCTCTTTTTACAAAGATGTGGCCCATATAGAAGGCTGTAGTCCTTGATCTTCTGCAGTAATTGTGTCAAGGCTTCTTCGCTTTCCCCAAACAAGACTTTGTCATCTGCATAAGGTGGGTTGTTGACAAGTCTTGCTCTAATCTTGATGCTACATTCTTCTTCATACAGTTTAGCTTCTCGAATGATTTGCTCAGCATACACACTGAATAGGTATGGAGAAAGGATATAACTCATACTTCTCTAGATTTTAAACCATGCACTGTTTTTCTGTTCAGACTATATTTTCATGGTCTATGTATAGGCTTTACATGAGCATAATTAACATTTTGAGATTATAATTCTTCTCAATGTTATCAGTAATTTGTTATGATTCACACAAATACTTTTGCATAGTCAATAAAACACAGATAAACATATTCCTAGTATTCTCTGCTTTCAGCCAAAATCTACTTGACATAAGCAATGATATCCATTGTGCCATAGCCTCTTCTGAATGCAGCCTGAATTTCTTGGCAATTCCCATTCAATGAATTATTCCAGATATTTTTAAATAATCTTCAAGATTTTACTTGCATGTAATATTAAAGGTATTGCTTAACAGTTTCCACATTCTTTTGGTTCACCTGTTTTTTGAGAATGAGAATCAACATCAATCTCTTCCAGTCATTTGACCAGGTAGCTCTCTTCTAAATTATTTTACATAGGTCCAGATTTGCATTTGTTTGCTGAAACATTCCAATTCCAGGGATCTATTTTTTTTCAAATTTTTATTTTTTTGTCAATGCCTTCAGTGCATCTTGAATATCTTTCTTCTTTACCATTGTTTTTTATAATTGGTTTGCTTATAATGTTTATACTCATTGTGTTTCACACTACTCTTCATTCACGTTTTGTTTCATACATTCTCATGCATTATGTTATAAAATTAATCACCACTGGACCTTGCCCATCATTGCCCCGTCTTTTCACCTAGAACCTTCTCATTTCCTCCCTTACCTCCAGGCACCAAACAGTGCAACCTGTGGTTTCGCCCCTACCCATCCTTTCTCAGCCCTTCCCCCCTTAAGTTCTCATACATGTTTTACTAGTTATCCTTCTATTTTCACAATAATGGTCGTATGCAGTATTTGTCCTTATGGGACTGCATTAATTCACTCAGC